CGATTGAATAACGCGTAAAGCTAGATAACGACTGATTTCAACTCTCGGGGAGCTCAGATTGATCAAGTGATAAGGTTCGTATCAAAAGCGATCGATTGGTGGATCGATCGATTATTCACACTACCTTTGAATTGCAAGCCCATGTCTCTAAACTCGATAAGATTGAAATTTTTGGAGATAATCCACTGTTTTCTAGCGACATGATTCACTTAAAAGTAGTGTAATTCATCTCGAAAACAAGTCCTGATGGTTACCATTACAGGTAACGACAAAATCTGTGGCTAGCGTAGGTAGTAAACACGCTCGGGTTGGAAATCCGAACGATCAAACGAGACATGGTCAGAGTCAAATAAGATTTATGAAAAACAACTAATCCAAATATTAAACTATCGATCAACTTTTAAATTGTTCAATCGATCGGCCTTTAAAATTAATAGTCAATCGATGTATAAAACACCATCTATGTTTGGGATTTAGCTTTGGAAGTGATTCAATATTTATATAAGACAATATGCACGGTATATTAGAAAAATCACCCCAAAATGCAAGTCTCTCCGAAAGGCGATAATCAGGTTGAATGATCCAGATGCAACACAAATAATTTACATCGGTCGATAAACAATGACAGACTCACTTCCGAAATAAGTAAACGATCGATAATTATACAAGCAATTCAAAACAAATATGATGAAAAGTAAAATCGGACGAAAGATTTTTATATATGCAGAAAGTGATTACAAGTCTTACAATTTTCTTTCAATTAATTACATGAAAACAAAATTACAATAAGTTTCTAAGTCCAAGAGGATTCAAAGAGTTTTTCGCCTTAATAGGAATCAGAGCTGCAAACTCGTCAGGGCTGGAGAACTTGACATCGATCAGTCCATGGTGTATAAATCTTTCAATCTCATAATCCATGCCATGTCAGAACTGCTACACAAGTTCAGGCATACGTTCTTCGTTGGAAATGGACGAGGCAACCTTTGCTTTCAATTCTTCTTTTTCTTTCAGCAAAACAAGCAGCATGTTGGGTGAATCCTTCCTCTCAACGGTGAATTTGTAAAGCTTGACCTTATGGAGATCTCGATCATCTCGAGCTCTCTTAAGCTCGACTTCCAGTAAAGTAACTTTCTTTTGTGCTTCAGCCAAAGAATTCTCCGCAACATCAAAAGCCAAACTCCTGAAGGTGAGCAGCTTGCGTCGCCATTTAATGAAAAAGGCCGACTGTTGCAAAATCTCCCGACAACTCAGCCTTTTCAAGGCTTGATCGAAGTCGTTCAACCATACCAATTCCACTAGTCCTAGTGGGATTCCCTTGGTCTCTGCAGAATTAGGGAACTAGTCCCTCAAGGTACCCACTAAATTGAATCGGTAGTCGGTGCCGACCCACAACCTTCCATTCCTCGCTTCACTGGAGGTCATTTAAAGTACCCCCTTTTCCTTTTTAGTGAGGGGAGAAGAGAGATGTGCAAAACTTCCATCGACTCTTTCTTGACGGCGGATAGCTTGTCTCTCGGGAGATGGTGAGGGATCATAGCCAGAAGACAATTCTGCATCTTCGGACATGGATCCGAATAAGGAGAGAGGGTCAAGGTGGCTAGCTCTGGTCTTCTTAGACAGAGCTATGAAAGACGGGTTAGCTGCCTATGAACCTAGCGAAAGGGAGCGAGTGGTTGTGGATCAGTTCGGGGCGAGTCAATTGGCTAGTCGATTTCGGGCAGTGAGGTGTTTGGTGCCCCTACTCCTTCTGAGGCTTCTTCATCAGAGGCAAATTTCTTGGTTCAGTTTTACCTGCATCAATTGAATGAGATCAAACAATAATAGTAACTTCATCGGTTACGATGTTTTGGACTACGACCGAAATCTTAGACCAAAAAGTAACAAATTTAGCACCGTTGGTGTAGGTTTTCACAGCGGCAACACCACCAGGGGGCTGACCTTCTATGAGATTACCTTTGGACGATGGGAAATTCAGTTTCTACTGCTTGGCGGCAAACTTATCTAACATTGCTTTCGCCTGAGCCCCTTTCATAGCTAAGGAAGCAAGCCACAAATCCCGAGTCATCTGACTATTCAACACCTGGTTAACAATCACCTCAACAATATATTGAGGGACCGACAACTTGCGCCAGGTCAACATTGCTCCGACGACACGAAGTTCCTTCGGCATGGACTTGATCATGTCCGCTAAAGTATCTGTCAGCTTGGTGAGGATCTCCCAACCGCTCAGGAACTGAGCACAAATTGCTTTTTATAATCATTCACTTTATTCTCAACCCCAAGCAATTGGGGCTTCTTTCCAGCTGAAAACAGGGCGAAGTCATCCTTGTCGACTTTGAAGGTGTTTGTTAAATGATTTCAGTCGCCTGAACTTCGTTGTAGCTGGTTGATCCCTTTGAGATTCGTGTTGGCATTTTGATGTAAACAAAATTATTGCTTATTTTTATGGTGAACTCATACTGGTAGACCTTGATTGGATGTTGTTGGAGTGAGGGGGTAGGAAAGATTATTTGAAAATAAGAATGTGCTTCTATGAAATTTAGGTTGATCATAAGAAAATAGCTTTGCAAAAAAAAAAAAAAAAAAAAAAAAAAAAAAAAAAAAAAAAAAAGAGTGAGAACGAAGGAAAATCAGGAACTTTTGACCATAAAATAGCACATGAGAGAATAAGGAGTTAATTAACTTTGATTTGTTAAATGCATAAAAAACCAAAGATTTCGAACGACCGCTTCGCAGGTCCACCTCGCTCTTTATTAAATGATTTTAGTCGCCTGAACTCCATCGTAGCTGGTTGATCCCTTTAAGATTCGTGTTGGCATTTTGCTGTAAACAGAATTATTGCTTATTTTTATGAACTCATACTGGTAGACCTTGATTGGATGTTGTTGGAGTGAGGGGGTAGAAAAGATTATTTGAAAATAAGAATGCGCTTTTATGAGATTTAGGCTGATCATAAGAAAATTGCTTTGCAAAAAAAGAAAAGAAAAGAAAGAATAAAGGAAAATCAGAAACTTTTAGGCATAAAATAGCACAAGAGAGAGAATGAAAATGAGTTAATTAACTTTGATTTGTTAAGTGCATAAAAAACAAAGATTTCAAGATCTTAGTCAAGGATGATGACATAAATAAATGATGAAATTGTTACATTGAAAAATTATTATGCAATTTAAGGTTAAGTCCATTAAATTCGTTTATGGTGTTTGGCATAATTCCACTCTTGTGATTTTTTTCCTAAGCTAAATCTGTTAAATCCTCATAATAATCTGATTTAATAATTCTGGATTTACATTGAAAAGTAACAGAAGGGAAGAAAATTTGGATTTAGTGAAGTACAAATTTAATTTGTCCTTTTTTTTGCGCCTACTTTGACAAATGACTAAATTTTAATTTGTAAGGCATCTACTCAAATGGCTGAATATTAGAATGATGAAGATAATGTTTATAATATTGAGGACTTAGAATCAATAGAGCAAATATGATTTGGTTTAAATATTTTGGATCAATTATGGGTAGAAAAGTGGAGATTTGGATGTTGTTGTAACTTAGAGTTAAGCTTGACTAGTTATACTAGAGAAATGCCTTGGAAGTATTATGAAATAAGTGGATATCAAGTACGCTTGATGCTAAGCTATGTAAATCTTAAATTTTGTTGACTATGTTGTGTGATCTACCATTTGGGCATTGAAAATGTTGTTTATAACTAACTTGAGTGTGATTGAAATCATAATATTACGATGGTGTCACACAACTAAAAAAATAAAGAGACATTTACATACCTACCTCACAATTCTTATTTTTTTACATATCTAACATCTAAACTTTCATTATTGCATGCATACCACTCAAATCTTTAATATCATATTAAAAAAAAAAACTGCTTTTACTTTTATAACTTTTCCTTTTATAACTTTTCATTCATTGATTTATGACATCAAAGTGTTGTGAATGTAAATATAAATGTTAAGGTGTTAGATAGGTAAAGACATAAGAATTTTGTGGTATGTATGTAATTTTCTCAAGAATAAATTAATGAATCATCATATTATAGGAATGATTGGAGTAGCATTTATCGAAGTAAAGGAATTTACAAAATAGACTTATATGGTTTGGGCATGTACGCGACTGGTTAATCGTTCAACCCCATTAGATGAGTGTGTAGATAGCATTAGGGTTGGATGATTCGGAAGTAGCGATGGAGAATATTTTCAAAACGATTCACAAAGGTGTTAAAAGAGAAGCATAAAATAAAGCTGTAAGTGTTTCTGAGACGAGAATGCTTAGATGAATGAGCGGCTTCACACTTGGAGACAAATGCGAAATGAATATATCCGTGATAGCATTGGCACATTAAACGTCGACCTCTGATGATTCGGCTAGGAAAAAGAAAAGTAGTCCTAAAATGACTTGGGCATATTGTATAAAAAATAATCTCAATCTATTAAAATTAAATGGAAATATGACACTCAATAGGACGCAATGGAGAACTAGTCACATTTTTCATAGATAAAGAATGACTTCATTTTAAGTTTGTGGTTCTCACATATTAGGGCATTAAATCTAGCTAGAAGGTATCCTCAACTTCTTTAGTTCCATTTCAATGCTATTTACAGTTTAGGCTGCATCGCTCATTCTGCATTTACTTATTGTGGCATTTACAATTTTACATACATACACACAATTCTTATATATTTACATATATAGCACCTAACATTGATATTCACATACATACCACTCACGTGTTTAACACCCACATCAAAAATATCACTATTATTAACTTTTTTAAAGTGAAATAAACCTTTTGCATGTATAGTTTTATTGCGCCAATGTGTTATAAATGTAAATAACAAAGTTTAGATGTTAGATATGTAAATACATAAGATTTGTGTGGCATGTATGAAAATTTACATCGTGATATATGTATGTATGTATCTATGTATATTATAAGTGCTGCCTTACCCATGAAATCTCTGTTAGTTGCTCATTGGTCTTTGAAAGCACAGGAAAGAAGGCCATGGTGGATTCTGTTACTGGCAAACAACGCCTTTTGTAGCCAGGTGCCACTAAATACATGTAATTATTTCATTGTTGAATTCTTATGTTATTTTGCAGATCCTGTTTACACTTTTGCATTGTTTTTTGCATGTAACTTATTTACCTATGGGTAGTTTTTGGGTCATTTGATTGCCTAAAAAATTGAGTACTGAGTTGGGGAGCTGAATCCTGATTTGTCAAAAAAAAAAGGCAACTTTAGTTGGGTGAGTTTTGTAAAAAACATACTAAATAAACACGTTCATAAAAACAGAAAAAAGCATACAAAAACATTGATATTTATAAATTAATCATCAGGTGATTTTTTTTTTATCACTACCGAATCTATGAACCAATGATTTAGGTGTGCCACGATCAAAGCATTGAGAATTTGATAAAAATGAAAAATATGGGTTGGGGTTTTACCGTGAATTTTTGATATTTGATTGAGAGTTTTAAAAATGGATGAAAGAGGGCAGTTGATTTGTAAATATGAAGTTTAGGGTTGTCTGTATGTAATTACCCCCTTCCTTAAACTTTCATCTTTCATTCCTATAGTTTTTAAGTTTTCTAATTGGCTTTCATTTTCTTAGTAGTTTTTAAATTGTTGATAGTAATTTTATCTATTATATCTGCAAAGGTGTCAAGTAGCTACCGGCTTACTACAGATCGAAGGGTAAGCCATTAACAACCATCATGTATCTAAATATAATGAACATGGATGGGAACCCCATTAGCAGTAAATTCATGTCAAATCATTGCCATCATTAGCACTTTTAACCAGCTTATTTCTTAAGGCTTCATTAGTCCCTTTTCTGAAAGCTGAGATTTAGGGGGACCTGTTTGTAAACAGCCATTTATTTTTTAACGTATGATATAATAATAAATAAAAAGTTATATAAGATAAGAGTTTTGATTTCATATATTTCGCATAATATGCTTATTTAGATGAAAACAACTACCATATTATCCCATAGATGTTTCAAAATAACTTTTTTCTCATTAAAATGCCCCTAATGAGAAATGAACCCTTTCCTTTTAAATAGATGTATATAAGGAGGTCGAAATCATACAAAGGACAGAATTCGAGCTTGCAAAAGGTGGTTGTTAGCATGATGATGTCCGCACGTCCAGATGATCAACTATTGGTCGTAACGTTGTCTGCTGATAAGGTATATGACGACGTGAATGTAGGTGGTTGGGCATCCGTGCGATGTTCAGATGCAATATTTTCTCACTTGCTGCCGAAAAGACGATCTATGCTAGGAGTGTGAATGGCTCTTTTTGGGCTCAGGAGTATCGCTAGCTCTGAGTTTATATATATGAGATCAAGTCAAGCTCATGAGCTAGTTTATTTATTATAAAAACAGAATAATATTAATTAAATCTAGTTTTGTAGTAAGATGATTAATATAATTTGATTATAAGACAATAAAAATTTACTTGGATAAAATATAAATTATGAATTTCAAAGTATTTTTAATAATTTAAAGATTAAGCTTTAGATTTTAATATCCTTTAAGTATTTTTTATATTAATATTTTCTTAAAAATAAGTTGGCTCACGAGTTAATGAATCGAGTTATGGCTTGTTTAGCTCATTGAGGTCAACTCATGAGCACTTATTGAGCTGTCATAAGTCGGCTTTGCTCAATACATCCCTCGACCATTTCAATTTTGAAGAAATCAAATAACCCATTAAAGGACTGTTTGGGGCAGCTGCAGCTGCTTGAAGAAGCAGTTGTGAAACGACTTTAAAAGAAACTGTCTTTCAAAAAATTACGTTGGTTATTACAAATTTATTTTATTTTCGAAAAATTAGACCACAGGTTTCTGGCTGCTACCACACTTTAACTTTCTACAATAAATTTTTTTAAAATACAACAAGAAATTAATTCCCAAAAGCAGAAGTGGAAAATCTAAATATGCAAAAAGCTGTCCCATTCTAAAGCAGTAAATTCATGTCCAATCATTGCCATCATTAGCACTTTTAACCAGCTTATTTCTTAAGGCTTCATTAGTCCCTTTTCTGAAGGCTGAGATGTAGGGGGACCTGTTTGTAAATGTTTGAGTTTAGGTGTCAGGAATGTAAAATAGTGTTTTTTTAGGGGGTACCTATGTAAACAGCCATTTATTTTTTAACGTATGATTTAATAATAAATAAAAAGTTATATAAGAAAAGAGTTTTGATTTCATATATTTCGTATAATATGCTTATTTAGATGAAAACAACTACCTTATTATCCCATAGATGTTTCAAAATAACTTTTTTTTCATTAAAATGCCCCTAATGAGAGATGAACCCTTTCCTTTTAAATAGATGTATAAAAGGAGGTCGAAATCATACAAAGGACAGAATGCGAGCTTGCAAAAGGTGGTTGTTAGGATGATGATGTCCGCACGTCCAGATGATCAACTATTGGCCGTAACGTCACCCGCTGATAAGGTGTATGACGACGTGAAGGTAGGTGGTTGGGCATCCGTGCAGTGTCCGGATGCAATATTTTCTCACTTGCCGCCAGAAAGACGATCTATGCTAGGAGTGTGAATGGCTCTAGTTGGGCTCAGGAGTATCACTAGCTTTGAGTTTATATATATTAGATCAAGTCAAGCTCATGAACTAGTTTATTTATTATAGAAACAGAATAATATTAATTAAATCTAGTTTTGTAGTAAGATGATTAATATAATTTGATTATAAGACAATAAAAAATTACTTGGATAAAATATAAATTATGAATTTCAAGGTATTTTTAATAATTTAAAGATTAAGCTTTAGATTTTAATATCGTTTAAGTATTTTTTATATTAATATTTTTTAAAAATAAGTTGACTCACGAGTTAACGAGTCGAGTCAGGGATTGTTTAGCTCATTGAGATTAATTCATGAGGGCTTATTCATCCCTCGACCATTTCAATTTTGAAGAAATCAAATTTGTGTGTGTGCATGCATGTGTGTGTATATATATATATATATATATATATATGAAGGTTTATGTGCTAGATACATAAATGAGTAAATAGTAGGTGCTACACATTTAAATTTCCCATTTATATGTTACATACATAATTAGGGTTCTAGTTTGCATTAGTGGCATGCATGTAAATTTAAAAGCGGCTCTTTTGCCCTTGGGTTTACCCGCTCACCCTCCCTCCTCTGATTTCCTCCGATGGCTTTTCGCTTACGATCAATGTCGAGGCCTGCAGTGTCTTTGCTTAAATCATCCGTCATCCAATCGGGAATCTCTACAGCCTCCGCTATATCAAGCCGTCCCCATTCCTTACCGAGGCAACTAGCTCGCACCTTACTCACTTGTTCTTGTTCTTCAGCTCCGAGCTCTGCTTTGTCTGATTTGGTTACATTCTTCTTTTTAGGGTTTCCCGAGCGGTGCGTTCATTGCAATCCCTGCTTCCGCTCCACAGTGCTGTGTCGTCCGCGCGGCTGACGTCGCGAATCGGGTTGGAAGCGGTGGGGAGTTCGAGATCGCTGTACCAGGGTACGCTCTGCAGATCGATCCCCGGGGTTTGATTCCACTGTACTTTATGTTTCGTTGAGTAAAACGCTGGATCTTCCATACTCCTTTCTTTTTTTTTTTTTGCTGGTTTTTGGGGGGACGATTGAGTTGCGAGGGAGTTGATCGAGTAGTAATTAAGGATTTTTTTATTGCTATTATTTTATTCATTTAGGTTGTTTTTTTTTTATGATATGCAATGGTTGGTTAACTGATTGCAAATTAGAGATGAGAAATAGTGGAGCTGCGGAAAAAAAGCTGCTTCATTAAAGAAACAGTTCCAAGGACATTACAAAAATATCTGCCTTTTGCATCACATAAGTTTGACTATCGGCAGTCGAATTATGTGATTATTCATTGCTCTTTTGTTTTTCTACTATCTTAGTTTCCTTCTTTTTTTTTTTGCAGATAACAATACTAGGTTTTACTGGATATGTTACTCTTTTACAGAATCTTATGGAAAAAAAATGTAGTTTTCTACGAAAGTTCTGATGCTACAGTTGTACTGTTTGCTTGATGGATGCAATTATGTGTTTTTTTTTCCTTTCATATTTAGAAATAAATTTTCACTAAGCTTTCAATTATGGTATTTGAAGTTTGTTTAGTTGAATTAAACTTGATTTTGGTCCATAGTTCTTTGTTCTTTTGTTGTCTAGAGTTTAATAAATGTTCTAGAATAATTTTTTGATGATTCTAGAACATATTTTAGAGTAGTTATTGGAAAAAATCTAATATAGTAATCATTAGCTTTTGTAATATAAGATAGAAGAAGATTTTAGATATTTAATTGTAGCAATGGGATTAAATGTATTGGAATGAGCCTATCATTTTTCATCAAACTAACATTTCTTTTTTCTCATAGCCTTTGTCTAGCCAGAAATTGATTTATAACTTAAAGCAAACTTCATGTCTTAATAAAATCTTTACATTTGAGTGGCTTAGTGAAAATATGTGCCACTTGATATTGAGACTTTACATACTCCACTTGCATCTCTTTTTGTGTGATAGATTCTTTGATGCAGTGATAATGCAAATTAGTGTGTTTGCTTCTATCACGAAAAATTGCATATTTGACAATCACTATTGCAAACTTTTTATCAATTTGAGTTTTGGTTTTTTTTTTTTTTGTTAGTGTTACCTAAAATTTCTTTGCTTTGTTAGCCTCAACCCCACGCTGATTTTATTGCTTCTGCTTTCATCAACTGAGGTTGTTTCGCCTAGCTAGCCATGGGAATCCATGTAACACTGTTGATTTGCATAATCTTCTTTGCTTGGACTCCGGTATCTTCTCTTTAAAATTTGAATTTCTTTCAGTGATAATAGGTTCTTATTTGTTTCTTTGTTTCGTTGATTTTGATCTGTCCGGGAGAGAAAACAACCTCTATGTTTTGCTGATCTTAGAGTTGGTCAGGGTTCTGTTTTCTCCACTCTTTTTTGATTTGTACCCAATGAGAAGAACAACAAGGATTACATGCAACTAATTTATGACCAAGGCTCACAGGGCATCATCAAACAAAAAAGGCATCACAATATTCTTGAGAGCTTGACATCACTAGTGCATTTAGGATCTTTTTTTTTGTTGGTGGCGTTGTCCCAAGGATCACAAGATCTCCTGCGTTAAGGCTGGTATGCCCACATGGTTTTGAACTTGCTTGCTGCAGAATTCACTACAAAAATCTTAAACTAAGTCTGCCGTTGATATTGTCTAGATTTACCGGACATGGATTTTCCTAGTCTAGGTTGAGTATATTTAGCAACTTCAGCATACACAACAGTAGACAAAAACACTAAGAAGCATATATTTAGCACTCTATTGCTGATTGCAGCAACTCGTTTGAGTATATTCAATAAAACATAAGTTGTGGAAAAAAACTGGTGCAGCATTTCGACTGCAGACAGGTAAATGAAGTTATAATCTTTGCTTGACTAAGTGCAGTGGTTCAATTCTGATAGATTCGGCAAAAAGGGCAATTCCTGGAGGCAGCAAACATATTTAGATCCAAATGGACATTGCTCTTAGTACTATGAGTTAAGTTTCTTTTTTTTTTGTTGATTTAAGGTGGCAGGTTAAGGTAATTGGCTTTCTTTAACACTTTAGAGTCACTGAATTGCACTCAATGTATTTACCATTACTAGGATTAAACCGACGTAAGGATTAAACCAACGTAAGTCAGTAAAATGTAGGACTAGCTGGGAACAATCCAATGAAATCCAATTATTTTCCATCTTCATCTTAGTATTTGGAGGATATTCCACCACAGCGAGTGGCTTAACTGGAACAAGAAAGAAAAGTCAATAACCAACAAAAGGTGAAAGATATATTATATGTAGATGAGACAAAAATTAATGAGTTCAACGGTTTTGTTGGTCTTGATGATGTATATGGGTAAATTATTATGTTTTTGAAAATTTCTTCAAGTATTCTGCAGTACCACCTACAAACAGAGTGAAATTTCTTAATATTATAGAAACAACAAGAATGTTATAAGAAAAATATATATGCATAAATAAAGATGTAAAAAATAACTTGTGTCAATATTCTTGCAAACATATTATCAAATAGATTATATATATATTTATAATATGCAGTTTAATGATTCAATTAGAAGGTTTTTGGTATTATCTTGATCAATTAGGACTATAGGCATGGGGCTTGTTCAATCTTGTAATATCTCATAATTGGTTCGAGGTTTCTGATGAGTTGTCAGTTTTGGACCACTTACTCATGTTGCAAGGTTGTAGGATCCCATTGAAATGCCATCCTCTATTTGGGCTGCGATACTTTTGTGAGTTGTTTTAAAGTCCAAGCATTCTAATGGATGTAAGGTCCACTTCAATCCACCTTTTAGGGCCGCCTCATCTATAAGGCAAGGTTATAAGACTCCCCTTTTAGGCACAGTCATAAACAGAGTAGGAAGCCCTATACCAATTAAATTTATGCCTTTCAATGAATGTAAACTGCAACCTGACTCATATTTGAGCCAACTCCTATAGTAACAAACCCCCATTAATTAATTAACCCAATTAACTAAAATTTATATGTATTTACCCTAATCTAACATTATTAGAATGAGACCATTAATATTCCATGATGAAGAAATTTCGTTCATTTAATCTAACTCGTTGTAAATAAAGTCCTAATTTTGAAGATAAGATTGGCATTTTTCCTTGAACGAGCATGATTATTTGCCCTTTAGGGCATTCTCTTTGTTTTGGGGTTATTTATCTTATAGCAAATAGTTTCAGCATGCTAGAAGCTCTGGTAAATGCAACCAAATTGATTGCAGGAGGGAATGAACAAAAACTTGAACTGACGTAAATTGAATTATTTTTTTTCCTGTAAATCAAACATACATAATGTACGAGTTCTTGTATTTTGTTTCCTATATGCCCTTTTATAGCTGAGAAAGCTAAACACAACTTTTTTTTGTAAGTGAACTTTTTCTATGAGAAAAAATAAAAGAAAATTCTTGCTCATTTATCAATGAGAGTTTTCTTAGAAAGTGAGAAAACATATTTTCGATTACCAATAAGAAGGGAGTTTTCATGCTATGATTTTTATAAGAATGACGTGTCATTTTCTTTCTAATTATTTTTTCACTGGTAATTTATGAGGTAAAGTCCATTTCTACTAATGCTTTGTTTCGTTGAATAGAAAAAGTGGCAGGCCAAAAGTAAGAAACCGCATCATTCCAGCTATTTGATGGCTGGTTGAAGTGGAAAATTACAAATATGATTTGCTTTTGAGCTTATATGATTTGAATTTACTGTTTTGGAATTCATTAATTACCTTTCATTGAAGTTAATACTGCAGCCACGCAAACATGCATTTATGCATATTTTTGTTCATGCAATGAATATAATATAAATTAAAATTTTGTGCATAATATTATAATACTGAATATAAAATATCAATTGCATTAAAATGCATGTATTTTAACACTGTATAAATATAATGCTGATCATCGGTCTTATCATCTAGTTATATGGGGCATTCGTATGAATCCTAATTTTTTGTTTATTCTTGATGAGAGTTGCTTGAGATTGTAAGTATATATTTTTGCTAATCTTTTGAGCTTCGATCTATTTTACCTCAGGCCATCTGATTTTTCTTTTTATGTTGGCCTTTAAAAAAGAAGCATAAATGAATAGGTGGATGAGTGGCTTTACACTTAGAGACAAAATACGAAATGAATATATCTGTGATAGGGTTGGTGTAGCTCCTGTGACGGACAAAATTAGAGAAAGTCGTCTTAGATGGTTTGGTCACATTAAACGTCGACCATCTGATGATCTGATTAGGAGAGTAAATGTTTTAGATTCGACTTGTCTTAAGAAAGACATAGGTAGACCTAGGAAGACTTGGGCTTATTGTATAAAAAATGATCTTAATTTACTAGAACTAAATGAAAATATGACACTAAATAGGACGCAATAGAGAGAAAGGATACATGTAGCCGACCCCACATAGTGGGATTAAGGCTTTGTTGTTGTTGTTGTTGTATTTGAATGTAACTTTATTTGCATGTATTAGAGGGGCATTTTTTTACCTTTCTTCCCACTTAGATCTATTTTTAACTATGCTATATTTAATAGATGCAGCACCAATTTTTTTTTTTTTGCTGCTGCAATAATTATTCAATTCATTTTTTCTAATTTTTCTCACATCCATCATAACATTCTCATTTTTCTTATGCTCAGTTTAAATATCATTATTTTTATTGGGCAAAAAATATTGAATAAAGTCATTGCTTGAAGTTATTATGTAACTTTCTCTAAAACCTGTGGGTTATTTGTGATGATTGTAATTTTCTCTCAATTCAATTATTTAATAATTATTAGAAAAATCATTGCTTGAAATTATCATTATAATTTATTTAAAATATATATGTTTACAATGAAAAGATCTTGAATAAAGGAACGACAAAATGCAGCTATGCCACTTGAATGCAAGATGATGAAACACAATTTGAAACATGGTCTAAAACTTAATCTTGAATGTTAACGTGTTTGCAATTTGAAAAATGGTGAAGATTGAAAGCTATATCAAATAACCCCCGATTTTCTAAACTTAATGGAGGTATTGGGGTCGAGACTTGGTGGTGGTCTCGGTTAAGCGTCAAGCCTTTAGACATACTCTTCTGCTTTAATAGGCCCTAAAAGTAGCATTTCTAAGAAACTTTTCCATTTCAACATATAATTTAAATTATAAAAGCTTTATCATCATGTATATCCCCATTCTTTTGTATAATAGAACTAAGGCATTTTAATCAAACGCTTGATATCACACTACCTTCTTAAAATATTGATTATAGTTATTAAGTTCACACCCACTAATATTGCATATTACCCCATCGGTGTTCTCCTCATTTTATGCCTTCCATCTTCTATAT